GTATTTAATTTTTCTGGAGTCAGAGTCGAGTGTTTTTTTACCAACTCCACAACAGCCCTGGTTTTAAGAGATTTTTATAAAAGGCTTCATTTTAAATATATCAAACAGATCAGTGATACGTAGTCAAACTTCAATTTAGCATTACTATTTGTTCACTTATAAAATTTGCACTGAATTGAGTATGGTGCTAAAATACAATAAGCAACTGGACTCCATCTATATTCCTTCCAGCAAAAAAACTAATGGAACAAACATTTTTGGCCTCTTTTAGGGGGCCTGCCTCAAGTCTTAAAACTTTGAAAATAGAACATTCTAATTTTGAATACTTTTAAAACCTGGGGCAGGCCTATTGGAGGCCAACAACATTTGTTCCATTAAAGGTTTTTGCTGGAAAGAGTACAGATGATGATAACTTGCTTATACGTAGTATATAGTGTTTCAGCATAGTGCCAATGTACCTAAAACAATAACAATTACATATAGTAATAAGATTTACACCTAAGTTTGAGTTTGAATGTCTTGTGATTTGCTGATGATAACATTGTTTGTAATGTAAATCGTACATTTGGTAATTGACACATACTGAAAGGGTTTTGTTTGGGGAAAAGTCATTCAAAAATGTTCATTGTGGTCTTAAGAATGGTACTGATTAAGAGAGGTGATATTAAGGTTTGACTGTGTGTATATTTTGATTTGCTGGTTTTAATATTTTAAAATGCTGTTCCTCCACAATTTAAATTTTTTCATGAGGGATTGAATAAACAGATAATGTATAGAAAAGTCTTTATTATAGTTCTTTTGATGGCATACATCTTTAATTTAATAGAACAATTTTTTAATATTAACTATATGATTTTAAATATTTATATTTTGATGTGAAGTGATATCAGTACAGAAAAACAGAATAATATCAAGTCTAATACTTAGTAAATGAATATAAAATACTTTTTAAATTCAGATTAAGAAAAGAAATTTATAAAGATTAAACTTTAATTTTCAACAGAATTTTTATAAAAACAATTTGTTTTGTATTTTAAGTTATTCTAAAGAAACTTAAAACATTAGTTTTTGAATTTTTAAATGTTTTACTCTAAATGAAACATATTTTTCTTTGTTTAAATTACTGTATAAGAGAGAACATTTTCTAAGACCTTAAATTTTTGCATTTCTATTTTTTTATGTTGTTGTTTAAATAAAAAATTGAAAGTTTTATTTTTTTCTATGTTTAAAAAGATAAGGAATTTAGATATGATAGACTGCATATCTTAGACGATAATGCTTTATTATCTTATACCACCAATTAAATTAACAATTCTTATTTTAATGCGTGTGTGGAGGATAGAAAACTATAAAATTACTTTAAAACTTTTTTTCACTTTTATCAACAAAATATGTTGTGCAGATGAAATATTGTTGAGGTTACAAAGCATCCTGAAATGTATTTCTTCTATAAGAAATGTAATTAATAAAATTGTTAGTTTGCTTTTTAATAATTAGTCACTGAGTTAATTAGAATTGTTATTAAGCTTAAATAATTCTGAAAATTTTTATCAATTTCTGTCACTTTTAATGATAAATGACTAATATTTTATAGTAGAATTACATTAAATGAGATAAATATATTTCTCCTGTTGTATTTGTAATGGAAATTTTGAATATTGGATTAATTAATTAAAAATTTTTTTCCTGATCAAGTAATTGATGATAGTATTATCATACATTGATTTATCAAATTGAAATTGTTTTAATGATTGTATTCAATGTTAAAATGATTATTGTTGTTGTTATTAAGCAATTGATTAAATGGACTTTTTATTCCATATGATAAAAATTTGTCTTTTCTGAGTAATTAAAAAATTATAAAATTTTCTGATAGTATTTTTTTAATTTCTGGATACTATAAACATTTTTTGTTATTTATGGTTTTTTGGAATTTGAAATGACATTGTAATAATGTTTATTTTAACTTAATTGCAAATAGTATTCTTTATTTATATAGAGTTAGCTCTATATAAATAAAAATCTAGTTCTTACATGTATATTTATAAATAACTGTATAATAATATGAGCTGTGATAAAGAATAAGTCACACCTTCCATACTATTTCCAGCAAAAACAGCTCAGAAATTGAATGTCTAAGAAGTAGAATATGCATTTGTATTCTATTTAAATGTTCGATTTCTGAATGCTTAAACTTGAAACAGGCCACTTAACAAAATGAATGTTTTCAGCTACATTACATTTTATTAAACTGTTTTTGCTGGAAATAGTGTGGAAGGTATGACTTATTATTTTTATGCTCCAGCTCATCATGTAGAGAATTGTGGAAAGAAGTGGAGAATATTTCCTTTATTTATATTTAGATAAAGAATCTTTGTATTGGGTTAAAATTATTTTTTGTAGGTATCTTTAGTGAACAGGTCATGACAAAAGTGTAAAGAAGAAAATATTGTACATGTATTAATGATGAAATATAATTCTAATGAGATAAAGCAGATCATTTTGGTTATCAGAATATTGCAAATTTAAATAACTTTATTTCTAAGTGTTGCTTAGCCATCTTTTGTACGTGCATGATAGGTTGTTCTTAGTTCTTGTTTATAATTTGAAATATTTTTTATTAAAATTAATGGAATTTGAATGTAGTTATTAACTATATTCAAATCCCATTAATCCAGATCAAACAGGACCAGATCCAAACCAAATAAATCAATTAGTGGGGTATTGAAATATAAATATAAAACTCTACATTGAAAATCTTTTTTAATAATTGAAAGTAAACATGCATGTAAAGCATGCAAGTTTACTAATCTGAAAACAATAAGAACAAATATTATATAAAAATTACTCAATATGGGCTTATAATTTTTTTATATATAAATACTATATATTTTTATCCTTATAAACATGAGATTGCTACTTAGATACATATTAAGGTCATAAACAATGTTTCAGTTGGGTTACCCTGGCTTTTTTATAGCAATTGCCACTCCATTTGCCAAACACATTTTTTATTCACCAAAATAGAAAGTTACTTGCCAGATTACTTTTTTGCATACTGTGACTTTTTCTACCAATCAGAAATGAAAGGATGACCAACAATAAAAAGTTTTTATGACTGAGTTTCTCAAGCTACTTTATTTTGTTTACTAACAGTAAAATTGTATCGGGCCAAGACCAATTCGTGTTCTGTGATACTCCTTTTCACCAAGCGACTATTATTTCTGGACTGCTCTGTGGCTATTCATCACTCCAATTACCAGATGAATGTAATTTTTGCAAATTGCAAATTTTATAACACTTTTTGACCTTTGTCAATGATCTCGCAAACATTGCAATAAATAATTTTTCCATAAAATGTGTAAAAATTTAAAAAGAAACAACTATTCAAACCATTCCAAATATTTCAGAAATCCAGATAAACAGGATCTGAATAAATAAGGTTTGACTGTAATGACGAAGGGTTACTGATAAAAATTTCCATTACTTCTATTATTTTATTTGTGTGTTCAGAATCCATCAATTTAAAGAAAAATGAACTTTGTAATTTGAAGCATACTGATATAGATGGATTTTGATTGGCATAAAGTTTATTAATATATATAATTTAAGAGGTTCATATGCTTTTAAAAGCAGTATTAATAAAAAATTTATTATTATTTTTATGACTTACGATATCTGGTGATCCCAACAAGAAAGACCATATAGGCCATTTGTATACTTGTCAAAACTCACTTTGATTGCAAGATTTGTAAACTTTTGCATGGATGCATAGTTTTATTTAGTTTTGCATGATTTATTGAATCAAATAGTGGTTTTTTGTTTGATTGAATTTAAAACACTTTTAATTAAATTGCCTCAATGTCCTTTTTTCCTTGTTAATATGTAAATTTTTTCGACTATAAATTCGACTTTCATCTATTATCAGGACTTATTATACTGGTTTTACAGTACTGGTTATACTGTTTTCTGTTAATCTTTGTAATATTATCTGTAAAACCAGTATAATAAGTCCTGATAATAGATGAAAGTCGAATTTATAGTCGAAAAAATTTACATATTAAAATACTTTTATTCAAGTAAGTTTTTAAAAACTTCTAAAATGGGTTCTAATCCGTGAAGTACTAGTGAAATGAGAAAGGTGAAAATTCTCAATATGGTCAAAATAGAAAAAAAAAATTATTTGTAGAGATTGTCGAACTCTACAAATAATTCATTTTATCCACTTTATTTACTGTGGATAAAATGAATTTTCCTTAGTGAACAAATATAAAATTTATGTCAGTTTTTCTTCTGCACTCCAATCTGCTAAAGTTTCTGATACAATTCATGATAAGGGTTACTCAAAATGGAAAAAGCATTAAATGTGTGAATAGAAGACAAGATTAGAAAAAGAATGCCTATTGAAGGCAACATGTTATGACAAAAGACACTGAGCTTATACAAGGACATTCAGTTACAAGACAGTGTGGAGAAAACTAAGCCATTTATAGCAAGCAAGGAATGGTTACATAGGTTCAAAATTAGGTTTAATGTAAAAAATGTAAAAATTACTGAAGTTGCATCTACTGATGAGGATACTTCTGCTGTTTTCAGCAGTTAAAAAAATTATTGATGAGAAAGGCTATAATCCTAAACAAGTTTTCAATTGTGATGAAACAGGCTATCTTTGGAAAAAGATACCTGAGAGGACCTAAATACATAAAAGTGCAAAATGCAATCTGAGATTATGTAGCTATATGAAACAATACAAAATACATAATAATATGTAATAGTACCTATGCTTTTATTTTCTCTTGGTCTATTACATTATATGCTTGCATGAATGTTGGTTTTTGTATATAGTTTGCTACTATCCACTGTTTCAGCTATCCACAGTAGACTTTGGAACATATTATTTGTGGATATGGCAGTCCCATTGTAATTTGAAATTATTTTTGTTGTATTTTTTAAAGACTTGCTATGATTAGAATTAATTCATTACTTTATTCTTATTACAGGCAATAGACAAATTAACAAGCTTGAGGTCTATTGGTTAATGGTGACAGTGGCATCAGTGTCATTGAACTGTCAGAAAGTAAGTTAATTATATTTGAATTTTATTATATATATCCAATTTACTAAAACTTTTTTAAGAATTCAGTATGATGATATAAAATTAATTTTATACTGCTTAAAAATTCTGATATTGTAGGAAAAAATAAAATAATTTTTTAGTCATATTAAATTATTACTATAAAGCAATAAATTAAATAAGTAATAATAGCTTACATTGGTACATTACATCCAGTTATGTAGATAATTATTTTTCTTTGAACACATACTTTTTAATATATCTTTTTTACAAAATTAATACAAAAATATATGATATGTAGTAATATGGTTAAACTTGTTTATAGCAAGTAGGAAGGGACCATTACATTTACTTGCTAAATCTGAGTGCTCATTAAAATTGGGTTTCCAAAAAAGAAGACATATTATTTGCGGTACAGCTATACATTGGCTTTGTATTTTTTTCATTGTCTTTTATTTTTTATTGGATAAGACTCATGACAAAAAGCATTGTCACTTGCACCTCTCATTTCAAAAAATTTTGTAGTTTTTCTGCACGTTTTAAGGTTATTGAGTATGTTGGTGGGAGTTCTGTTCAGTAGCGTAGCGAGGGGAGTGCAAGGGGGTGTATCATGCACTGAGGGCCACTCGCAGAGGGGTGCCCAAATGGTCTCCAAGACAAACTATATGTGTTTCTGGAGGGGGCGCCAATAAAGTGTCATGCCCCGGGCGCCAGTTATGTTTGCTACGCTACTGGTTCTGTTCTGTTCTTATTTTTGTCTTTGTTTGCTTCATTATTTTGTTCAGCTACTTGTGTTTGTACTTCAGCAACAATATCTTCTTGAGTTGGTATGTCAGAAGTCATCACATCATAGTCTATAGAAACAGATTTCAAATACATATTCATTCATTTCCAAATTTACTGTCAGTTTAAGTAAACCATCACCTTCCTCTTATCAGATTGTCTATCTTAAAAAATCTCCAAACCAGCTTTTTAGAAACAATTTTTCATGCACTTAAATGACATTTTCCCACATCTTATTCAATAAATGGATTGCTTCAAGTTTATTTGCATTTGAAGTTATTTGTTTTTTGTTTTTTTCCTATCCAGAAGCAACAAAATCAATTGCTTACAAAAATGGCTTTTGAAAATTCTTAGAATCCATTGGTCTATGGACTTTAGTCTTAAATGTTTAGTAATTTTGGGATCCTATGAGAAGAAGAATATTATGCTTTTGTTTCCTTGGTTTTCTCTTCTATTTTGAAATGAATTTAGTGAAAATGTCAGTGTAATCCATACTTTTTTACTGTTGTCATAATCAGTTGGAAGCATCTTTACATTTTTAAAATGTAGAATTTTTTACTTTAAAAATTAACAGTTTCTTTCTTTCTTTTCTCTGTAAATCTTTACAAGTAAGTTTGAGAGTTTCAATACAGCACTTCTAACATTCAAAGGTTTTCAATGATGATGTCTCTACTCATTTAGTTTGTGGTTATAGATGCATTTCAGAATGATGTGTAATTCCTAATACTTTCAAAAATACTGTTTTTTGTATAGAATTAGCACTGATGAGGGAACAAAATTATACATCATTCCAAAATGCATTTGTAACCATAAACTAAATGAGTAAAGTCATCGTCATTGAAAACCTTGGATGTTAGAAGTGCTGTATTAAAACTTAAACTTACTCATAAAGATTGACAGAGAAAAGAAAGAATTACAGCATCTCTTTTCCATATAATAACAGTTTCTTCTTGTCATTACCAGACATATTCACATGCTCTAACACCATAAGTCTATTTTTGGAGAGCTTGTCTCTGCACTTTTTACTCTTAAATTTCAGTCTGTTGGTGGTTAAGTTGGCTGTTGCTTATTTAATTTCTTGTTTTTATTTTTTACATTACATTATCCTATTGGGTATTGTGAATGTTGGATAAACTTAAAATTACAGATTATTCTTTATGCAAGTCCATGATGATTGATAGACAAGACAATTTTTCTCTGAAAGAAAGTTTTTTATATGATCAAAAATACTTGTGATATTTTTTTTTCTATGTACATAAAATTATAACATTAAATAGCTGCTTTTCAGCAACCAATAAATAAATAAATATGCTTAATTAAAATAAAGGATGAATATAGAGTCCTTGAAAAAAGTTTGAGACCACCTAAGTTTTGAAACTTCCCATTAAAATTAACTGATCCCCTGTAAATATACTCTTGTTTAGGTATTAAAATAGCCATAAACCAAATATGAAATAAAAATTTATTTTCATATTTTAAGAAATTCAAATAAAACAAATTATTGCTTGCAATTTGCCTGGAAAAAAGTTTGAGACCAGTTTAAAAATTCATATTTTACAACATTCTAAAATACAATAGACATTGTAACCTAATTTGTATGCGTTCATATTGTGTGTTTTCAACCATTAGTAAAAATGTGATCTGGTAAAACATTCACAGATGAAGAAAAAAGGCAAGATATATGCATTCAGAGACTGAAAAATCTGAATGTATCATTGTAGGTCTACTAGGAAGAACAAAGACTGTAGTTCACAATTACTTAAAGGACCATGACAATTATGACAAAGCTAAGTATTGCAGTTGGTCAAAAAACTTTCTGCTGGAGATGACCGGGCAGTATTGAGAACAGTAGGACATCCTTTGCTATGTCATCTAGTTAGCTTACAGCTTCACTGTGGCTACCTGTAATACCAAGTACAATGAGATATGTTCTGAAAAAGGTCTGCAAATCATGCATACATGAAAATGCAGGCACTGCCAAAATTGACAACTTCCCATGTGGAAAGGCAGCTGAGCTTTGCGATGCATTATATTGAGCATTCAGATTAATGGAAGCACACAGCTTTTAGCGATGAGAAGAAATTTAACCTAGACAGCTCTGATGGTATGTGATACTATTGGCACTAACCTCATTTTTTATCACGTCGTGTATAAGTTGGATGATTCAAGATGGTATAGGCGGCTTTCACTCATCAATTAAAATCAGCTATTGCTTTCATTTCACTTGTTCAAAGGCAGCTGACTATCAAGATGTGTTGGGAAATTATCTTCTATTATTAACAGATGAAGCAATGGACAAACATTTTGTTTTCCAACAGGATAATGCTACTATTCAAAATGCTGTCTCAACAATGACATGGTTGTCTTGACAATAATATCAATATTTTGCCATGTCTATCATTTAACCAAATTTAAACTGAACAGAAAATCTTTGGGGGTAATTTTATAAGAGTAGTTAATAATACAAAAGGAAAACAATTTGATAGTGTTTGTGATCTTAAAAAAAGCAATTGTGACTGCTTGGGATGAAACTAGTCCTGAAAAGCTAACAACTCTTACTACATTCATGACCAATTGATTGATGTTATTCAGGTTAATGGTAACAAACTAAGTATTAAACATTGTTTTTCTCACTATATTTTGTTTTCATTGTGCTTTTTTGATCCTGGTCTCAAACTTTTTTCCAGGCAAATTACAAACAACAGTTTCTTGTATTTGAATTTCTTAAGTATGAAAATAACTTTTTACTTCATATTTGATTTATGGTTATTTTAATACCTAAACAGCAGCATATTTACAGGAGATTAGTTAATTTTAATAAGAAGTTTCAAAACCCAGGTTTTTCCAGGACTGTACTTAATAAGATGTTTACATAATTATGTTTAACATTTTCTATGATGAAAATATTAAACTTGATTTATTTGATAGTTTTTGTATTTTTTTAATATATATGATTTAACACTTTCAATGGCCTGGATAAAAACTTATTTCCTTATATTGCCCATGTATTTTGTCCTGTCTCCATTTCCAGGTTTTCGTTTTGTAAGCAAACATTAGAATTTTTGAAAGTTTTGAAGAGAATTTTTCCTGAGTAAGAATAAAAATATTCAAAAGCAATTATATTACAAGTCTATATTATCTTAAATGTATTGAACTAAAGAAGTCCTTTAAAAATTTTTCATAAAATAATAAATTATGTTGAGTTTTCATTATTGAGTTTTTTTATCTTCAAAATCATTGAGCTTAGTATGATTACATGCTTTAAAAAAATTGTTTGATATTTATGCTTTTGCTTTATGTTGAGTATTAATTTACAAAATGATCAGTACTTAATAAAAAAAAATAATTACTCTTTGTCAGTGTTAAATAACTGGTTATTATTTCATCAATTAAAATCTTACAAAACTTTGCAACTACTTTCAACAGTATATGACTGTATTCTCAGCAAAATTTGAAATTAGAACAAATATTTTTAAACTTCATATAAGATTCAAAAAACAAGATTTTTTTTAGTGTTTAAAAATGATTTATTTTGCTAAGTTCACTAAGCAAACAAATGAATTTTATTAACTAATTCATTAGATATAGAAAATCATAATTGCTTTTAAAAAATACCATTATCAAAAATTTTCTACAAATCTTAAACATATAAATGGTATATGCAGTAAAGCGTCGATTATCTGAATGCTGATCAACCGAAACGTCAGTTAACCGAAAACATTCCAGTCAGATTGTGTCATGCTGAATCGAACGTTTTTAATACTAGATTAAGTTCTAAAGTATAAATTTTTTGTTTTAATATTTTTCAATATATTTATTTTGTTTGTACAAAATAAAGAAATAATTTTTAATGATACAATAACCATGATTATTATTATAAAAGTTTTTGTTGGGCTTAACATCGATGAAAATTTAACGTGAAGTGACACGCAACAGAGAAAAATTTAAACATGGGACATATTAATATACTATTATTGGGATATACTAATATATTATATTAATAATGTATATATTCGTACATAATTGGTTATCCAAAAAAATTGATTTTCTGAACAACCCCAGTTCCGAATTGATTTGGATAATCGATGCTCTACTATATACTACAATTGTTTCCTTGAATAGAGGTCAATCCGAACTTATAATGTAACACAATGTTTAGTAATATATATATTTTCTAAATGAAGAAATAAAGAGAAATTATATATATATTTTAAGTTAAT